TATAATGTACATTTTTAAGGGAAAATTAAAGGGACCTATATAGTTGCATTTTATCCAGAATTAATTTTTATTATTTGAGGGGTTGTTCATAAAAAAGTACCCTGTAATCACTCGTGATGCATGAGTTCGTTCTTAAACTGCACGTTGGCTACGTTGTGACATTTTTCGTATCACTGTCGTCTGTCACTAACTATAATATATTTTTATTTCAAATTAATCAATTAGTATTTATTATTTTTTTTCTTAAATTTCATTAAAATTGATGATAGAATTAGGGGGAGTCATAATCCCTAACAATTTTGGATACGTTACTGTTCTTATCGACAATTTGATTTTAGACTATGTTTGGGTATACAAAGTAGACAATGCATTTTCAGTGGGTAGTGTTTAAACTTATAAAACTATTCCTGCGAACTAGTTAGTCGTGAACCAGTAAATATGATTAGAGTTTAATGTTGTAAGTTACTGTTTAACCGAAACTGTAGTCTAGTTATTATATATACATATATGAGACTTGCTGTCGAGTTAAACGAAATAAATTTGCGGCAAAAACGAGTCACCCAACATTGCGTGGGGGTTGGTTATTTATTTTTTTTTTTAATGCCATTTATGGTATCGCGGTGATGGAACACTCCCAAAGCCCACGCGATTCCTATTCTTCTACAGCATCCGGTTTTAAGAACGCATTCGACACTACGTTTAGTACGTAGTACATTGCCCATGGCACAGGAATTCAATGGGTGAGGTTTTTTACAGGTCAATAATTGTGGCGAAATTTTTCTCTCGACACTACGACTACCGCGCAAATGCCTTTTATATATCTCCCTGATCTAATTATTATTATTGATTATTATAAAACATTATATATTACCGCGAATTCAATGACTTTCTAGATTAAAAATTTTATATCAAGTAATATTTTACAAGTATGATATCTAGCAATTTTTTTTAACTCAGTATTCATTGAGAGAACATTTTAGTCTCTCTTTTTAGAAATTTAAAATATACTGTTATTTTTTTTTTTATCAATTTTATGAAAAGTGTGTGTGTGTAAATTATAATTATAAAGAATAAATGAGATAGGAAATTGTTAGAGTAAAAAATTATTATTTTTTTCTGGATAATTTATTATCATGTGGATTATATGCGTAAATGACAGCATGTTTATAAAAATCAACTATGTTTTATATATTTTGAGAAATTTTTTAAATTTAAAAAATTAATCCTCAAAGTAGTTACATTAACACAAAAAATAATGATCATTTAATCGTCTAATAAGCTTGAAAAATCTAATAATATAATAGGTATATATTGTAGTAATATAATATAGTATTCCCACACTTAGTCATAAATATATACTAATAGATAAGACATCCCTATACAATATATTATTATTGAAGAGGTTATCAATTACCATAATGGTTATATGTGGCTGTGGGAACAGTTTATAATAGAAAAATCTCGTATCAATCCTCAATATGTCAAATTATGAATTTTAAAAAATTGAATTGAATTAATTTCAACATTATTTCTTATTTGTTATCATTGTAAAAATGATAATAATATTTGTCATATTGTGTTTTGATTCTGTGTTACTATTCTATATTAATATAGTTTAATATTATCAATAGTGACGATACCACAACATTGAACGCATGTAATGATTTTGGTAGGTAACTAACATGTACTTCAATTAAATTTAAATATAATGTATGTCTTATCACTCCTATCCATCATATAAAAAAATAAACATTTTATGTATTACAATTCTATGAATATACCTAATTACCAATTAAGTAAAAATTATATAATTATCTACATAGATACGGAATGGTCTGTTGGAAAGTTGATTAAGTTCTTGTGGCAAGTAAGTAAGTAGTATTGGTTCTTACTAAATTTTTTACAGTATGCAAATTACAGACTATAGTGAAATAAAAATTATTGCGTTCTAATTTTTAAATTGCTTATCTTTGTATATATGTAAAAAGTGTGAACATTGTAGGTGGTAGTTACAGTATACATAATATTTAATAAGTAGGTATGTTATATAGTTAATATAAATCTGAATGTAACATATTTGTACGCATTTAATAACGAATTGTAATTATTACTTTTTTTTCTGTTATTAACTATTTTTATTTATTAGGTCTATCTGCATAACAACTATTCCTATACTTATTATTTTTCATGAAACAATTTTAATGATGCTTTACTTATGTCCAATATGTAATGAAAAAAATGTCTCTTATTTAGTTTCAACACGATAATTTCATTTTCTGTAATGTTTGTAAGATAATAAATAAAAGTGAAAGTAATAGAAAAAGAAGTTATCTATAACATAATATAAAAAGCAATCATGTAGAAAAGCAACATATCTACCTTGTGATTAAAATTTTATTTTTATTAGTTCTTTAAACAAGTGTTAAAAAAGTGTATAAATTATAAATTATTTAATATTATGTCTGTATTAACATCATAATGTGGGTATAATAGTGTAAACTATATTGTATTAGATATAAATAATAAAATATAACACTATTGAATTAATTTAAATTTTATATTATTCTAAAATTAGAGAGGAATAATTGGTAGTTTATGTGAAATGGTTAGTTGACAGTTAAGAAGGTATACACAAACTATTATTATGTATTATATTTTAAATTGGTTTTATATTATATATATACATAATAATATTAAAATTTATAACATACTATTAGCCAATAGATAATCATAAGTATATTAATAAACGATATATTGGAATGATTGGATTATATTATTAAGTTGTTGATATTGCTAATAATTAATAGTATTGTGCATACTGTATTCCATATTATTATCATTAGGTTAGGTTTTATACCAATTATTTTCACATTTAAATATTATTATAATTTATGGTATTCGTCTTTAAGGTGTAAAATCTCGACGTATTCAAAGCATTGATTTTATATTTACGCATTGACAAATGTACATTTCGTGCATAAATGCATAATATACATTTTCAGGTGAAAATGCAGCACAAAGTCAGTTTAATTGTTAGTAATGTGCAGGCTGATTTATGAGTTATAATATTGTGTGGTTTAATACATAAATTGCACAACACTTAGGATTTTTACTAGATGAAAAACATGCGAAAGATATTCATTATTTTAATACCCAGGACAAAGTGTCAGAACATAATTAAGGTCCTTAAAAATAGCGGTAATATTGTTATGTAGTCATTATAATAAACGATTATTTTTATATTTATTAATCTATTATCCGGGGCGCTTTTTATGAAAAAAATAGATTTTATAAATCTTAAACAGAATATAGTTTTGATTTTTTGTTACCTTAGATAAAATATTGTTGTGGGTAAAATAATAATAACCATACACAAAATTACAATTTGTATACTAAACTTAAAAAAAAATAGTTTATTAAAACAATTAAATTTATGTAGAAATGACAATTTACTATTGTATAAGAAATCATAAAATTTCACTTTCGAGTCACCAATTTCGAACTCTATTTAAGATTATAGTATCTTCCTTACAGCGCTTATGGATAGGTACAAAAGTTAGCATCATAAACTCTAAAATGATTTTTCGTACACGAATAACTATGAAGTGTATCATAATTCTGAATGCTTAATTGATTTAATTATAAGTATATTTTTATTATAAGATATTAATGGATTTTAATAAAATATAAGTATTGTTAAAATGAACCTAAACATACGTATACTTTAAGCCAAAATGTAAACTACATTTATCGAGTGAACACGGTTTATTTCAAATAAACAATTCTATATTTAAATTAAACACTTGGATATTTGCGGCGTCCGTGTGTTGAGTTCTCGGCGCGCAGCGTTACGACGACAATACTGTTTTGGCCGACAGATAGCGGATGGAGAATGTGCGATTTTCAGCATTAAAATAGTCTGGCTGTCTCCATTTATCTTATGTTAACACCGCACATTTATTCAATTCTATCCACGCGTCTTTGAACAATTCATACATTTATTACTCCAAATACTATTTCGTATGCGACTAGGATTATATTTTTTCATTTTAGCAGACAAAATTATATTTTGAGTTAATCCCGTATATTATTATTTTTGAGATATCTAACCTAGGTATATAACTCATATTATACTTCACTTTAAATTATACTTTCGTTGTGTATCAATTAAAAGTAATTTTAATGATTGAATGTAAATATTTATGTATTAATTTGTATATGTATAGCCGGTATAGGTAATTTATAGTTATTACTGCGCAATGCACACAGTATTCTAAATGGCCAATAGTTTCTTGATCGTGATCAAAATGTTCAAGTTTTTTTTTTATCTTCTTTTGATAATAGATTTTGACAGTTAAAATATTGGGTAAAAAGCTTCATTAAAATAATGTCTATTATTTAATTTTTTTACAATCATAAAATAATTTTCCTCGACTTACTAATTTTAGTAAAATAGCTACTAATATTTTTTAATATAAATGAACAAATAAATAAACGAAAAATCGACATAGCTTAAAATTTAAAAATAAATAAATCTGTAATTTTTAAATTACTATTATTTTGTAATTATGAAATAAAACAAATTACCTTCATGTGTATATAACAAAGAATTTTCATAAATCATTCAAAGAAATTACAGAATTTCTTGATGATACCATTAATGGGGGTAGTTAACCTTTCGCTTTGATCATTTTTTCTGAATAATGAACAATTTATAAAAATAAAAATGATTTGGACTACTCACTTTATGTGTACCTATAATTTAAAAATCAGGGCCCTGATGCCTTTAAATCAGCTTCTACAATAGTTACATGATTTCAGTACCCTCTATTTATTTCTTTAAGTTATGCCAATGTAACAAACGCCGTGTGAGGAAAAATAATGGCAAAGCGAGAGTACCGCGTGAACGTCGTCACCGGTTGGGGCGTCGCAGGTTCGGCGGTATCCGCGCGCGACGGTACGCTGTTATGTTAACAGCGTCGGTCCGTTGTCGGCGCCGGTGCTGTGGTGTCGTCGTTGGAGCGTTGTCCCGGCGTTCCTCGTTCAACGTGCGCGCGTACGTTTTTTCGCGATTTCTGTTAATATGTTTTTTGTCATTTAAATCCTCATGATTTGAAAAATGAATGATGACTTCGTCATATAATATATAATTTATGTATTATACAAGCGATATATTCTCTCAAACTGCACTTTCAGCCGATCGTTTGGCTTGCAATAAAACGTATTTAAATTTTTTCTTTTTTGGACGCGTATACGCTGCCACCACCATCGCAGTCGGAGTGTTTCGATTCTTGTTATCATATTTGTGTCATTGTCACGGGTTCCGCGCGTCCTCTGCGTGGCGGCCGTTTAAGGACGTACAGGTAAAAAACGTCCAGGTCATCGTAGAATATAAAAAATAAGTAGTAGTAGAAAATTAGAATATAGCATTTACCGGCGTTGGTGAAATATATAATAGTCATTTATTGGTCAATACGAGTTCATTCGGTGGACAAAAAATTATAAAATTCTATGATTTACATTTTAATGTAAGGAGAAAGGCATATTAGAAGTTTAAAAATATTATGTTTCTATATAATGTAATTAACATTAGGTTTTAAAAGTTCATGTTCCTATCATAAAAAAATATTAAAATTATTTATTTTAAAATTTAAACAAAATTTAATTTTTTTTTTGTTACAGTTAACATATTTTTAATTGGGTAAATAAAAATATTTTAGTAGATTAGGTTGGATAAAAACAAATATAATCTAGCTTATTAATGAAAATATAAATTATGAGTTTCTTGATGAAAACTTAAATTATGGTCACCAAAATATTAATTATAGTAGGTATGCATTTAAAGATTAATTAAAATTATGCAGTAAGTATGTGAATATACATTATACCAACGCATAAATCAGTTTATACGATTTAAAATTTAGCTATTCAGATTATTTAAGATTGAGATCATGGATTTTTTTGCTATTATCATTATTTATATTAATAGTGTTAAGTTTAAAATTTGTACCTACTTTACTGCTTCAAATTACTTGTAATAACTATAACATTAAAATAAAAAGTATGCCGTTGATTATTATGAATATAATTATTATTTATACTCGATGTAGACTTAAAAGTAAATTCATTAAATAATTTACTTATATTACGCGTACAATTTATTTCAATTAATCATATTCTATTGAATAAAATATAATATGTCACATATTATGTAGGTATGTGAGAACGTTATGTTCTGTGTAATTCATGTAGTAGTGTAATGGTGCTGTGGTGGTAGTTAGAAGGTATTGTACATTTAAGTGATTTCTATAGTTTTGTCATAAGAAGATAATGTGTATTGAATATATTATAATGATTTATTCTCGTAAAATTACGGACAAATAGAAAAAAATACATTGTTATAGGGAAGATATTATTATTTCTCGTCACGTTGCAGTTTAATTGGATGAAATATTATAAGCAATAATTTTGAAGTCACATGTATCTTACATGCATCTTAATAGTATTTTTTTTAATAGTATGTCTAAAAATAATAATAAAAAGAGGCAAAGTAGGTAACCGCTATGCTATATAGTAGATGTCAAGTGAACCTTATCATTGAGAAAAGTCATTGCAATGTAGGAATGGGTTAAATTTGAATTCATTGATACATCATTACATTTAAAAAAAAAATTTACTAATCCAAGACACTATGTATTATGTAAGCCTATATTACTATATGTATATTTTATAATATATTTATATTGATTTTAAAGTAATTTATCTTAATATTAACTATTAGTAATACAGTAGATCTTACGAAAAAATTGTATTTAAAAATGTCATTATGTTTATACAATATAATAATGTACGTTAAATGTTTAATATTTTTAAACTACAACAAAATAATTCGTATCATTATTTTTTGTTTGAATTTCTAATTTTGTTAAAGTTAAACTTAAAATGTCTATAAAAAACTTGTGTTTATATATTTTTAAGATTTTTTGATTACATTATGAATTATTTAAGAAAAACATTGTCTTAAATTTTTTATTTATAGCTATAAAAATTGATCATTTCATAAATTTTTAAAAAGCTAGTGTCTACTTATAAAGAACCTTATGTTAAATTTTTAAGCGCTTTGACCTAGAGAAAAATTGTTATGCAACATTTATAGAAAATAACTAAACAAAATTAAAAAAAAAAAAATCAAATGTTTATAAATAGCTTAAAAGTTTCAAATATTTTGAATATTTTATTTTGTATTGAAAATACATAAACGTATCAAACATACGAATTTCAAGTATTTAGGGTTATTCGTCTAGGTTACATTAAAAAAAACCAAAATAGATTTTGTTAAATATAATACTAAAAACTGATAACTAAAATTGAGTTCTATTTTCTATTGATCTAGAAAGTTTTATTTTCAAATTAACGACGATTGTTGTGCTTAATGCGTTGTTTTAAGTTTGTTTTTAATTTAAAATTAAGAACTAATTAACAATATTTTTATGAAAGTAAATATTTTTTTTATGATTTGTTTAACATACGTTAAAGTAGGTATATACATACAGCTATGTATTTATATATGTTACGGGAAATGTAGAATACCGAGCAATGTGTACATTGCCCGGTTAATGTGGTTCTGCCCGTACAATGTGAAATTGTAAGCCACGAATTTTTTTTTTTTAATTAACTAATATTATTTTTATTTTTATTATAAATTAAATTTTATTATTACCTATTTATAGTATTGATTTTTTTTATAAAATAATGATTATTAAATTCATTTACCATAATATTAATAATATTTTGATGGAATAGCAAAAAAAATTAACAAATATTATCATTTCGTTTTTATTATAAATCTTATGATTTATAATCATCGAAGACGTATTGGCTAATTCTATTTCATTACGAGAATCAGCCTGCTCTTTTTAAAATTTGGGAGGACAGCGATATGATTTATGTACTTGTATTCTGTGTTGCAAGACGAATAAATGCAAGTATGAAAGACAGACAGACTATACAATTTCAAGTGACATGTTTCTAAATCTTGTGCAAATAAACACGAGTAGGTAGTAATAAAATTATAATTTATAATAAAAACAAAATGATAATATTTGTTAATTTTTTTTGATATTCCATCAAATTATTCGTAATATTATGATATATGAGTAAAATTAATAATCATTGTTTTATAAAAAAAAAAGTCAATACTATAAATAGGTAATAATAAAATTTAAGTGGCCTGGTGTGGCGCGGTGGTTGGCCTCAGTCACAAATGTGTTCTGAAGTCAAGCATCGGCCGGCGTTAACATTTGATTTAATCGTTTGCGGTTTACTTACTTTCTTTGGTTAGGTTTCCTTATTGTATTTTATTGTATATTCGTTTTTTATAAAACTTTTGATAAATTTATACTAGGCGTGTTGTACTTTTAATTAAATACACATTTATACGAAGTAATATATAGTCTTATTTAGGTAAAGTTTATGATTTTAGTTTATATTATCATTGTCATTATGACATGATCAAATATAAATTATTCACATTTAGCAGATAAATATTTTAACAGATTGCTGTTCCGTGTAACTCATAATTGACCGCGCATGGTCGTTATAAATAATAATAATACTTGCAACCTAGAACTCGCATTTATCTCTATATACAACATAACATCTAATAGATGGTTATATTTATATTTTATACCAGATTGAGTTTAAGATATGTATATTCTGAGGCATATGGTAAATATTGTTACATATTGTATTGTGTCTACTGTATATTATTGTAATACACTATCAAGATGTATAATACATTTTATAATATTAAAATATACTTTAAATAATAAATAATAATTGACTTTAGGAAAAAAATAAGAATTAATATTGTAGGATAATAATTCAAGACGTTGAAACCTTTAATTAATATTATTTATGAATAAGATATTTTATACTTGATTTTAAATGGGTATGTCAATAATTTCTTGGGTTTGTTGACCAAACATCAGTTTCTTTTCAGAAAGATATGATATTAAAAGCAAATTATTGTTCCTTGGACAATTGTCTATTTTGTTTAATACAACTTTTCATTATCTATTAAATGAATATGTATTTTAATATTATAACATAACATTTTATTAACTGTATTTTATATTAATATATCTATATTTGTAGTATGCACATATATATATATTCATTAAATCATCATTAGATAATAATTATTATAATAATCTAAATTATTAATTATTGTTATCTATTATTACATTTTGATATTTACTTACACAGTAATCTGCATAAATATGTTTTTAAAATATTAAAAGTAACTTCACGCGTTTTGAAACTGTCAATACATTTTTGTCGTTTAATCTAGTAATTTTGGAAGTATACTAATTTAAAAAATCTATTTTAATAAAAGTTGATAGTCGATAGTATAACAATAATAAGTAGGTATACATTTTTTAAATAGGTATTTTTACATTCAGGTACAAATAATTACATGTTGTTTTCAAATACATTTATTTTAAATTTAGGTTAGGTTAGGTAAATGTTTGTCTTTTATAAATCGTAGAAGATTATAGATAATAAATCATATTGAAATTGTTTATGACCATATAATAACCTAAAAATTATATGCTTACTGTGTTTTGACCGCGGAGTTTAAAATAAATGTTCTTAATCGAGTAATAAGTAGAAAAGTTATTTATATTTTTAACAGTAATTAATTATACAAATACTACACTTTAAATTCAACGTCAAAGTCACAAATTCTGCTAGTGATTTTTCCGAAAAAGTTAAACATTTTTTACCAGTGTAATTAATAATCGTGTTATTATATTTTGTTTTTGGGCACTACCTAATTGTTATTTATTTGTTCTAATCATAAACTCGAAGTATGGTTCGATTTGAAATGAACATTTCCTTATAAGATATTTTTAAATTACCGTATTTTATGAAAGGCTCATCAATATTCTATTTTTAGTTGAAATTAAATTTTCTTACAAATTATATTTTTCTTAAAATTGCTTAATTATTCTATATAATTTTGCAATAGTTTAACATTTTTAAAGTTTTTATAATATATATGTTAATTTGAATGTTAAAAAAGAAAAAAAAACACCGAAACAGTTTAGAGAAGTAAAAAGCACTTAGACACACCACGGAAGAAGTTAGTGTTATAACTTTTAGGGTATATTCTATTATTATTATTATTATCATATGCGTAAGTTATTTAATTTTAAATCTATTATAGTTGCTTATTTAAAATTTATACTCCTTTATTAATTTATATTAAGTAACTATATAAATATAAAGTTTATAAATATACTTTATAAGGATAGTTAAGTTATTAATAAAGAATACAAAATTGTATGTGAGTAAGTTA